TGCTTCATATTTCCCTGAAAAAACAGGTCATTCTCTGTGAGAACTCCCTATTTTTCCCTCCTCATAACTCAAGATGTCTTCTGTCACTGTCTTCCTTCACTCCTGTCTCACACGAAGAAGTGGCCCTTCTCCTAAGGCAAATTCTATACACATACAAACCTATTCCATCCTGTCTTCTCCAGCAGTTTGGCCCCTCTGTTGTCCTCTCTCTCACTAATCATTCATCTTTCCTTTTCTATTGGCTGCTTTCATGTCTCCCCCATCCTCAAAAAAACAAAAAACAAAAAACCCCTCACTGGATCTGTCCATAACCTTTAGTTATCATCTTAGATCTCTCCTCCCCTTCCTGGCTAAACTCTTTGAGAAGGCCATTTACAATAAATGCTTCTACATCTCTTCATTCTTTTCTGACTACTTATCAGACATCTCAAACTGAATGTCTTGTAGAGAGCTTAAACTGAACATGTTGAAAATGGAACTCATACCTTCAAACTCCCTTCTAAACTTGTTACTATTGAGGGTTCCTCCATCCTCCCAGTTGCTGAGGTTCACAATTAAGGTGGCGTTCTCAACTTCTATCCCTAATATTCAGTCGGTTGCCAGGTCCTCTCAATTCTGTCTTCCCAACATCTCTACCATCACTCCCTTCTCTCAACTCACCCAGCTACCACCATGATACGAGCCCTATCACCTCATTTCTGGATTATTACAATAGCCTCCTCGTTATCTCCTTGCCTCAAGTATATCCCAACTCCTGTTCATTCTCCATGCAATGGCCAAAGTAATCCTCCTAAAGCAGACATCTGACCATGTCACGTTCCAACCCCCAACAACTCCATTGGTTCCCTGTTGCCTCCAGGATCAAATATAAAATCCTCCATTTGACTTTTAAAGTCCTTCATAATAACATCATCTCTTCCTACTTTTCTAGTGTTCTTGCACCTTAGTCTCCTCCACATACTAGCCTCCTTGATATTTCTCATGCAAGACACTCAATCCCCTGATTCCTAGCATTTTCATTGGCTCATGCCTATACCTGTAATTCTCCATCCTCATCTCTGCCTCTTGGCTTCTTTCAAGTCTCAGCTAAAATCCCTTCTACAAAAAGCCTTTCTTAGTCTCACTCATGCTAGTGTGATTGTTTTCCATTTATCCTGTTTATCTTTTATGTGCATTAGTTTGCATGTTGTCTCCCTATTTAAGGAAGTGACTTTTTTTTTGTCTTTCTTTGTATCTCTAGTACTTAGCACAGCACCTAGGACATGGTAAACCCTTAATAAGTGCTTCTTGACTTACCTAACTTGTTCAAGGTCACACAGTTAGTTAGTGGCAGCAAGAACTACAGACCAGATTTCTTGGCAACTATTTTAGTTTATTTTTCATTAGAGCATGCTGCCTGTTTCCACAAGCAATCACAAATTCATTTATTCCTGTCACAAACTACCTTATTAATGACCCATTCTACTTCCAAAGTCTCTATTCTGTGTTGTTCTAAAATATCCTCCCTCTGGCTTGTAACTCTGTAAATGTGGGGAGTCAGTTGGCCTCTTGGGGCCTCAGTTTCTTCATTTATAAAATGATTGAATTGAATTATTTGACTCATGGCCCCTTCCAGTTCTAAATCTATGTAATCTCTATTAGGGGGAAAATATGTATATTGGTTATCTATTTTGTTTTATTTTTGGTCTCGATCTCTGATTTTGTTTATGTAGGGAGCTCTTGGTGAAGAAACTCATACCCAACTGCAGATACCCAACTGTATCCAACTTAATAGTTGCCTGGAGGCCTGAGAGGTTATACCTTATGCAGGGCTATGCAGCTAGTATATTTTAGAAGTGTAATTTTAGCCCAGGCCTTGGTGAATTCAAGGTCATCTCTCTGTCTACTAAGCCCTGCTGCCTCTCTCAGTATTTGTTAGAACAACTAAGTAGATTCCGGATGGTGAAAGTGGGAGTAAAAATAATAATGTTTACAAAGTGCTTTGCAGTTATGAAATGCTTTTACCTTCATTAACTCATTCAGTCCTCACATGAACCCTGTGAGATAGGTAATCCATTTTACAGATGAAGAAATTAAGACTCAGAGACATTATGTTACATTCTATGAGGAAGTAGCAGAATCAGAATCAAAACCTAAATGTTCCAACTCCAAGCCCAGTGCTTTCAAACATACTGTACTACTTCAGGAGGATATTGTAAAGGTGATAGAAAAAAAACTAATCAAACTAAGGTAAACATGTTTCAAAAGCACAAAAAGACATATTTTAATTCTAAACTCTATAGCATTGTGACTTAGTCCCTTAGTAATTTCAATGAACTACGACCTTGACAAAGTGAAGAATATGACAAGTATATGAAACTAATTATAAAAGTTTCTGGTAATTATCCTTGATGACAATTTTTTATTTCTAAGAGAACAGGATGTTTGTTTTATAAAGATATAAATATGAGAACGTATTCAATCATCAAGGAACTTCCTGTATGTGGTTTGATTGAAGAACAAATTTGTCGAAGACTCGGTAGAAGAAAATGTTTTAAGAAAACATCCTGATTAGTTCTTCTTGATTTATAAACATGCCTCTAAGCATCATCACTATCATCATTGTTAATTTGCATTAGCATATCCCTCTGGGTTTCTTACTTTAGCATCAATTTTCTGGAAGAGTATAGATTGCTAAAGAAGTGAAACTTATTAGTGTCATTGCTTAAAATAAGTAAAGATGTTCACTGCCATTTTCTTTTATAATTCTCATCAACATGAAGCAGAAAAATGGTATGATTTCTACTAGATAAAGGCTAAACTGGGAACTAGATGCTCAGCTTTTGACCCTGTTCTTCTGTTAGGAAGAATCCTCTTTGAATCTGTTTTGACATCTGTGAAACTAGGTTATTTTGTGTATTGTATATTCTTCTGAGAAGTGAGTCATGAGAAGTGTTTGAAATATTTTAGAAATTCTTTTAATAAGTATATTATAGTCAGACAAAATTTTGTGCTGTTAGCAAAGGATATTTTAATATTGATTGTTTGATTTCTTTTACAAATTTCATAATGTGGTCATAGACTTGGTACTCTTACACTTTCACACATGTCTGAGAAGTTAAAGCATAATGCAAGAGTGACCAAAGTTCTAGCAACATTTTAAATAGCTTTTCGTGGAGGAAAACTGTTCTAAGGGTAGGAATCACAGTTTCCAGTTTCAGGAATCCATCTTGCAAACGTTTGTTATTTATCACAAGGGCAACTGGCAAGAGAGTATTTCTGGCATGGTGCAACTCATCAGTATTCCTAGAAAAACATCTCTGAGGGCATATCCTAAAATATTGGGCATCATCTTTGTATACAAAGAAAAGTTCAAACCATCATTTTGACTAATATATTTTGGCTTATTTAAAGGGACCACTTGCAAATTCTTTTTGGGGAAATGTCAGAAGAGAAATCACTAGTCCTAAAAGCATGCCTACCAGTTTGATAATCCCAAATCTGCTCAGCTTTATGTCCAAGAACCTTAGTCACTTTGAGGGTAAGGAATAGGCAAAGCAGTCTGGTACAGTCTTGAGCCACTGAAGGAAGTTTCAACTAAAGAACTTTAGGAGGCTAAATGTTTCCAGAGATATATTGAATGTGCAGGTCCACTATGACTTAAGGGTGTTCCTTCCTCACCCTCCCCCCCCACGCCCTTCAGTGTGTCTGAACCCTAGGAATATCCAATGAACTGATCTAAGTGCAAGGCTGGGATTTCTAAATTTTAGAGAGAATAAGGTTTTTTGTTTTGGCTTTTTTTTTTTTTTTATTACTATAGGATACAAAATTTCCGTATTTTGGATTTAGGTGGTTAGAGAATTAGCATATTATAACTCTTTGAACTTATCTCAGTTAATAACTATATCTTTGGCAAGACAGCCTACCTCTACTTAAAAGATGGAACATAAAATCCCAAAGGCCTATTGTATACCATACTAATGAACTCTGAGGGCTGTATGTTATCCTTCTGCCCAAAAAGCAGTAGCATGCATCAGACTGCTCACAGAAGAATGTGCCTAAGTTGGCAAAAAAAAAAAAAAGAAAAAGAAAAAAGAAAAACCTAGATGGATTCCATTTAATTTTTATGCGTTGATCAGTATTAAATGAAATTATGCTAGGGATACGTACTTTTATGGGTGTATGACATTCTAGCACAGATCACAACCTGTCTGTGACTCTTAGTGTTAACTGAGTCCCAGGGAGGTTTAATGATTTTCTCAGGTTCACATAGTTCCAACGTATGATCTGAACCTAGGACATCTTGACTCAACCCAGCACTATACTATGCCATTCTGCCTCTATGAATATAAAACATGCATTGATTAATACAAAACTCTGTCAGTACCTGACAAGATAAAAATTTACCTGACTCCTTCCCCACCCCGCCACGCACACACATACATAAAAACCTTTTTAAAATTTTCTTTGTGCTTTACTATTGACTTCCACTAAAGTCCTACTCTGATGCTTCACAGTGCCATGGAGGTGACCTTAAGTTTTTGAAGCTCGTATCAGAAAAGCATAAGCTCTTTTAGACTAGAAAAAATTTCTAGCATAGGCCTAGTAATTGACTGTATATCTATTGTCTTATGACTGGTATAGCTAAGTTCAGAGGGTCTTAGCAGCTTAGCTACAGGGTGATGAATTTTTTACCCGTAGTAACTCTCAAAACCATCTGATGTTAGAGAAGGGGTGTGATCTGGATTAGTTGGACAGAGTACCCATGTTGCTAAAATTACAAAACCTTACAGTATCTAGGGGAACTTTTAAAGAAAGGTCTCATATGAGACAATTATTACTATCATATAGGAGATAAAGTTATAAATGGTAGGCATATTGCACTTCATGTCTTCCATGTTGTGAGTGCCTTCTCCCTCTAGTTTAGTAATAATTTTTCTTGTACTGAAAAGTTTCTGATATTTCTGACATTTATGGTTAAATATTCTTATGTCTTCTGAATAAATATATTATTTTTGTAGGTGGCTGTGGCAAGTACGATAGTTATTCAGAATATTGGAGGTAAGGAAGTTTAAGTCCAGTAATTATGTTTTCATGACTTAATAGTCATTTCTTATTTTGGTTTTGGATGTATTTGTGACAATGAGCCGTTTCTGTGTGACCATTGAAATGTTTTACATTGCCTTGAAAGACATGTGTGATTCATCTTGGTGCCACTGTGGCAATTACATCAAAGTACCAATAATTCGGGCAGCTAGTTGGCACAGTAGATAGAGCTGTGGGCCTGGAGTCAGGGATACGTGAGTTCAGATCTGGCACTTAGTAGCTGTGTAACCCTGGGCAAGTCATTTAACCCTGTTTACTTCAGTTTCCTCATCTGTAAAATGAGCTGGAGAAGGAAGTGGCAAATTGCTCCAGTATCTTTGGTAAGAAAACCCCAAATGGGGTCACGAGGAGTTAGTCGTAACTGAACAACAACACCACCAATGCTGTAGTCAGGGTCTTAATTCATAGTCCTGTTTCTGCTGTAGAAGTGTGCCTACAACACACTTTTGAAGGACAGTAATGAATTCTGTCATGATGATCTCTTCAAACTCTAAATCTTGTGTGAAAAACAGATTGTCTTTAGTGAGGCAAATTTACTAATATGACCAAAGTGGAGGAGGCAGGTGGAAGAAACATTGGGCAGGAGCAAATATGGCAAATTTGAACTGACCATTCTGTTCATATTTATCTCTTTGGATTACAGATTGACCCTAGAACTAAACTATGAAATCAGATGAGTACCCATTTTCAGTATTAAAGGCTCCAATGGATATAAAATTATGAGGTTAATGCCAGTTTATAATTAAGTAAAAGTACTAACACATCTAAATACAAAATATGGGATTCTTGTATAGAATTTAAAAATTTCCACAAGTGATAGACAACTTATTTATTTTGTTTTACCATTTGCCAGACTACCAAATAAATGTTAACCATACAAAAAGCTTATATGGGGAGGGTTTATAAATTTTGTATCTAATGCAAGATTGCATAGTGAAAAGATACTAGAATCCTGTTTCTTTTACATAATAATTTATAACCTTTTATTGTGTTAGTTTTAATAAAGTTTAATTCTGAAACCTGAAGCCAAGGGCAGTTGCACATTGAGTATTGCTCAACCGACTCCTTCACCTTCTGCCAATCAAAAATTGTGCTTGCCACTATGCTTGAAACTCACGAGATTTAATGAATATTTTGGTTCTTTGAATTCCCATGGGAAAAATGTTATATTTTTGTTTAGGAAGAATTCTTTTCCCCTCAACATCTCCTATTGTAGTCAAGAAAACCAATCTCTCATTTTTTCGATCAGTATATCTGCCTATACCGATTTGAAAGTCTATTCTGAATGATGTCCCATTTTGTAATATGAAACTAGAATTTGATGTACTCAGTCTCTCATTGTGACACTGAGGGGGTTCTACCCCTAAACCAGGATGTTACTAATATACCAGCTTTGGCCAAGTCTACTTAAAATTACTTACATCATCTGAATTTACAGTGTAATTTTTAAGAGTAGTATTTAAATTTGACCTTTTCACCTAGCATTTCTTCAAGACAGAGTGACAGACTGATGGGGGGAAGTTACAGTGATGTCAAGTGTGGCTGAGTATAATTCACTTTAATAAACTTTTAAAGCTTCTACTCTATACAAAGATGAAAAGTGAAACTAAAGTTTGCAATCTAATGGGGGATTAAAATGTAAGTAAATAAGTATCATATAAGGGAGAATGTAGTAAGGGCAAAGTGTTGTGAGGAATTTGAGGAGAGAGAGCCCGGAGGAAGGAGTTAGGGAGACTTTCATGGAGCAGTTAGGTAGATAGAGGGCTGGGCCTGGAGTCAGGAAAACCTGAGTTCAAATCTGGCCTCAGGCACTTACCAGCTGTAAGTCTGGTAAGCTGGGCAAGTCTCTTAATTACTAAAATGACTAAAAGTCACTGTTTGTCTCAATTTCCTCATCTGTAAAATGGGAATAATAATAGCACCTCCCTCCCAGGATTAATGAAATAATGCTTATAAAGCACTTAGCATTTATATAGCAATAAGCACTATATAAATGTTAGCTATCATTACTATTATTACCTGAACTGGATCTTAAAGCTCAGATGTGAGAGAGTGGTTACTAGGCATGGGGGATGGACTGACCAATTTCCCAGAAATGGGAGAGGTCAGAGCAAGGGACAACAGTCCATAGTCCTTACCTATTAAAAAAGTATGTGAAGGGAAGTAATGTGAAATAAGACTGAAGAGTAGATGAGAGCTAAATGAGGAGCAAGCTTCTAAATGCCAGGCCAAAGGAGGTGAAGAGGAGTGACGGCAGAGAGGGAGGATTAATTGACTACAAGTTCAATATGAGACAGCAGCGTGATATGGAAGCCAAAAATAAAACAAATGAACGACAAAAATCTACTGCAATGAATGGTAGGTTTTGTTAAGAGATACAAAATATCATCTACTTGGAAGGTAGTATTCCTGCTGCCCTCTGCCTTGTTCACATCACATCTGGAGTATTATATTCAGTTCTGAGTGCCATATTTTAAAGACATTGATAAGCTTTAGAAGATCCAAAGGAGAGCAGTCTGAGTGTAAAGGCTTATAAAAGGCTTTGTAAAGATTGTCTGTCAATCAACAAGCATCTATTAATACCTGCTTTGCCAGGCCCTTTGTTAGGTGCAAGGGAAAGAAAGATAAAGCAAAACAGCCTCTCTCCTTAAGGACCTTACAGTATACTTAAAAAGGGATTTATATAAACAGATAAAAGACAGATTTTTGAGGTGGAATGCACTGGCAGCTAGGGAGATCAGGGACGGTCTTATGTAGAAGGTGGTATATGAGCTGAGTCTTAAAGGAAATCTGACATTCTAAGAGGCAGAGGTGAGGAGGGCATGCATTTTAGGCATGGAGAACTTCTAGTGCAAAGGCTTGGAGATGGGAAATGGAGTATCATGTATGAGATTAAGAAGGCCAGTATGAAAGTAGTAATGTATAATAAAGCTGGAAAGGTAACTGGGGGCAAGGTGATGAAAGACTTTGAATGCCCAACAGGAGTTTGTATTTGACCCTAGAAGTGATAGGGAACTGGAGTCTATTTATGTGGTCAGACCTTAAGAAAAATCACTTTTGCAGCTGTATGGAGTATGTGCTGAAGTGGAGAGAGATTTATCATACAATATAAGGATCAGTTGAAGGAATCAGAGATGATTAAAAGAAAAAACATATGGAGCAAGGGGGACATGATAGCTGTTCTCCAATATATGATGATCTGGCTTGTGGAAGAGGAATTAAATTTTTTCTGCTTGACCCTAGAATTCTTGTTCACTTCCACAATATACTTTGCATATGTCATTCTCTCTCTGCTCATAGCCACTACCTTAGTTCAGGCATCTTTTATCTGTACTATTTCAATAGCCTCATAATTGATCTCCCTGCCTCCTATGTTTTCCCTCTCCAATCCATTTTCCACATAGCTGCCAGAGGACCGAAAAGCACAGGTCTGATGGTGTCATTCCCTTGTCTAGAAACTGCAGGAGCTCACTCTTGCCACTAGGAAAAAACACATACTCTTTTCTTTGACTTTTAAAGCCCTTCATAATCAAATATTGGCAAAAATACTATTTTTTCCCCAAATGGCAGTCACTTTTTTCTGTTTTTTTTTAAATGGGGCCAATTAGATGATAAATCTTTTTTTTTATGTAGCTCATGTCAATATTAGTGACACAATAAGCAAAATACTTATTTAATGCTTTGTATATAGTATGTCCCAATTTAGAGAGGCCATCTTTGAACAAAACTTCCCAGTCTTCTGCATTCCTTATGTTTCTAAACTTATCATGGCATACCCTGCCCACTAACAAAAATATGTGAAAATGGTGAGGAAGATAGACACTTAAGATAATACTCTAGATTGACAGGAGAGAAGCTCCTATGCTAACCCAGCAACATTGGCGGCCCATCTTGGTTCAGATTCATGAAGGAGAATGAAAGCTATTAATTGATCTGAGGAGAAGACCACAGAATATTTGGATACTATTGGCAGCAGTTTTGTTTGGTGAGAATATGGTACTAAAACTTCATGGAAAGCCTACTGTGCTGGCTGTGTTACATGTTATAGTACATCAGTCAACAATTATCTATTTATAATATGAGTATCACACACTATTTGGGAATCATCTGTTATTTTAGAATATCTCTAAATAACTAATTTTTTTTTTAAAAATTTGGACTAAAGTAGTAGATCTTATTTCAAGGACTAGGTAGAATAAATTACATGTCATAGCAAGACTATTATTGCACATGCTGAATGAAATTGGAGAGCAAGTTATTTTAGTAAGAACTGTGGAAAATGGAGACCCATGTAATAAAATAATAAATGTTGAACTGAATTGAATTCAGGGCAGTTAATGATCTATAGCCAACACTAACAATTTTGTAGCATTAGGAATCTGAAAGTATAGAAATGGGAAGGGAGGGCTGAAGAATCACATGATTCCTCTGGCTGAAGAGTGGCATTTGTTGAGGGAAGGGAGGTCATTGTTGCTGAGAGATACATTCAGACAAACAAACATCTTGAAAATTTTAATATGTACGAAGGTAATTTGAAGGCAGAAAGTATGGGCTTAGAAAGTTTGGATGTAGTAGGTTAATAGCAGAAGGAGCTGTAGTAGAAAATGAGTAGTCCCCCTCAGGGAGTTCATTCAACCAAATATAAAATATTGTGTAATTCTTTTCCCAAAAAACTCCCTAATTTGGACAGACTTAGTTTGCTTTTCGCTGATGGCTGGAGACAGACAATGTAATAGTGAAATTTTCCAACTTGGGCATATATGTCAACCCCTAAATCTCCAGCTGACTTAGACCAAAGAAAATCCTCTTGCCAGGATGTAATGATATCAATATATTTGTATTCGATCTGAAAATACGTTTATGTCCAAATAATATAACCTTAGGTAAGTGGAACAAAATCATAGGCAATTATTTCCTACCATTATTAACATGAAGTATAGCTGAAGGAATTATAA